CTGACTCCAGGGGCCCCAACCAATGAGGTCTAGCCGTTTACCCCAAAAATCAACCAGAAAGAGCATGGTGAAAAGTAGGAAAAGAACTTTAATCAGTATAGCTACTTTGGGAAGGCAAAGTGAGATCTAACATCCCATCCCTGTCTTCAGGTTGCTGATTGGAGCTTTAGTTTTAAATAGAGAAAAAACTGGGGTAAATTAGGAGTCTTGGTCAAACTGTGTTCTGGTTGATCATTGCCTCAGATCTGGTTCTTCAAGGTGGCTCCAGAGAGGTTCTTATTGCTTGAGGGGGAAATTTCCAATTTCTGCTCAGAATGTTTATCTGTCAGACCAGTGGCCCTGGAAAGGGACAGTTCAGTTTCCATGAGATGGTTACTCTTCATGGGGTGGTATGTCTGCCACCTGCTCCTCCTAGAAGGTATAGAACAAGGGCTAAAGATTTCTAGGCACCATTCCAGGTGTCTGAAACACAATGCTGCAAATCTTTCTGCTGCAAAATCATTCTATAAACAACAAAACCGTAGAGCCAATTATACTGAATGATTTTGAAGGAAAACAATTTAGTAAGCAATTTGAGGTTAGTACTCTCCATTACAATTCGTGAATCTCTGTTAAAGAAAACTGAGATATGTGGTCATTCATTGGGAGGCCCATGCTGAGATAAGAAAGAGTGTGTATACTAGGAAGTGGTGGGAGTAGTGGGCCATGTGACTTGGTTCTCAAATAGCTGTCTAAACCTTACCATACACTTCCAGAGAATATGACGGAGAAGCAGGCCATGTTTCATGGAAGAGATAAAAAATCTACCTCATAGGTTTGTTGTGAGGATTAAATGTATTAGAACATGCAAACCCAGTGCCTGGCCATTAAAATCACTATAGCAGGGCTAGGGGCCAGCTGTTCTCTCTATGGTACAGGAGCCCTCATGCTCTGATCCTTTCATACAGGGCTTCCAAGTTGGTGATGTTGCACAGCACAGTCTGCTTGTGGCCCGACTTCCTAAGTCTCTGTCAGTTTCTTGCCTCACATGTTAATTTGCTAGTATTCAGAACCCAGACAGTACTTGCTCTTAAGCCCTTATTGATCTTCTGGACTAAACAATGTAAAAGGCTTCAAACCAGAAACCAGTGTTTTCCAACAGCGAATCATAAAACTTTGTACTTAGTCATTTTACTGGTTTAACCTAACTTTAAAAAATTTTACAGAATTATTTTATAGAGTGCTTCCTCTGTGCTAGACAATGTATTCTCCTTTCACTTTCCTTCCAATCCTGCCAGATGGGAGTGAAGGGACCAAGAAACTAAGGAATTTAGCCAAAATTATGCAGGTAATAACTGGCAGAAATTAAGATTGGAGCCAAGTGTGTCTACTCAGAATTCCCTCATGCCCTACCACTCCCCTGCCTGTGATAGAAGCAGAACATGGGTGCAGAAGGAATATAATAAACATCTCTCAAGTCTCTTATTTACTCATAAGCAAGTAAAACTAGTACAACATTAACTAGTTGATTTCATAAAACCTCAAGGCAGTTAGCCAGACATTTATTTTTGATGACAGAGGATCAGCTTAACAGAAACAAATTACTAAAGTGTCCTAAGTATTAGTTGAAAGGAGTGTGGAGCCTAAGAAGTTAAGATAGAAAGGTAAACCTGTTTCCCAAGATTTTAGAAGCTTGATTCTTGGCTCTTTCTTTTATCTGTAATCATATAATATAGTCAAGAATAAATGACAAGCCACTCTTTTGCCTACAAAGTGGTTCCATTTCTATTAATAAAGTTTGAGTGATAGTGGAAGGACTGAGTAATGTTCTAAGATTAAGCAACGCCTAGAGGGATAACACTGGATTCCAAACTTCCAGAAGAGGTTCCTGGGTCCTCCACCTGCTTCAACCAGAGCAGCTGTATTCTCTCAGATATAATATCAGGCTTTTTGCATAAACTTTCCTTTGAAAAAGAAGATGTAAATGAATAAAAGACCTCTTTTTCTACCATATTCATATCAAGCCAAATATTTTGTCTATGTTTGAGTCATTTGGATTTTCAGGAGTGCAAGATGCTCTTCGTTTGCTGCCACCAGAGACCTAAGCAAAAATGGAAACTTGGAAATTTATGTTTCTATATCCCCACATCTTCACCCACCAAGTACCATGGGCTGCTCTGCTCTCAGGACTTCTACACACATGTGTAAATCCTGCATTGCCCAATTTAGAGGGCCCTGTTCTTGTCACAGTCTTTATTACAATAGTGTTCCTGCTCAAGCAACAAAGTATTTTTAGGAAGAGGCCCCTGGAGCTACAGACTTCCTCTAGCTAGCCAGTGCCTCTCACAGCAGGCTTGGCCCATCTCCTCTAAAATGTGTCCTCTGAAATTCTTTCCTCCCCACTATTGAGAAGAAAGCCAACAAAACAGAATCGATCCCTTCAGGTAGGAATGACTCCTGGGAATTCCAGCTCCCAAGGGCTTTCTATCTTGAAAGAAACACTTGTGAAACCAAATTAAACTAAAAACCTAGATTAAACAGAGTTCAGTCAGGAAGCACTGCATTCTTAGTGACCCTTCTCCACTCTGGGCTGTCAGCACCCAGTTGCTACTTACCAGATAAAAGGAGAAACTCAGGTTGCATCTGGGCCCTCTTTTAAAAGATTGCCAAACCCTATCCTTCATACAGTTCTAGACTCATACAGTTGAGTTTGTATCTGTAACAAACAAAGATGACTTATTCTGTAGAAAGACAAGAGACTGGGATCAGGATTCCCAAAGTGATATTTCTTATTTCAGTGTAAGACCTTCATAGACTCACTCTCACCCTCCAATAGTTTATATAACTTTATTTTTCCAACTACCAGTTGGTAAGATCCTTGGGAGCAAATCCCCTCTGATTTGCACATCTTCCAGAGCACTGAATTTTGGCCACAGCAAGGAGAGGGTTACTGAAGATCACATGTCTCGTTGATGGCAGGATCAGGAATAGAACTTAAATTTCTTCATGCCATGTCCCAATTTAGTCCCAATCTATTCTACCACTGTTTCGGTTATCTATTTCTGCATAATAAGCTGTTCCAAAATGTAGTACCTAAAAACAACCCTACCCTTGTTTCTCATAGACCTGTTGGTCAGGAATTTGGACCAGGTTCTGGTAGGCCAATCATCTGTTCCATTTGATATTGACTGGGGCACTCACCTGCCTGGCTTTAGCTGGGTTGACATAAAAGGCCCAAAAAAACTTCATTCACAGTCTAGAGCCTTAGTGCTTCTCTTGTAGCCCCTTTCTCTCCAAGTAATCCCTTTTCTCTTTTGTATTCTCTTCTGAACTTCTTTACAGCATGGTAGCTATCTTCTCTAGGAAAAGCAGAAGTTAGCAGTCCTCTTAAACTTGCCCAAAATTGGCACAGTTTGACTTCTTCTGCAGTCTCTTGATCAAGCAAAGTCACGAGACCAATCCCACATTCAAGGGGGAAAGGGTGTGAAGGGAGCTTCATACCACCTCCCAATGATGGAGCCTCCACACTCAGGGAAGGAATTGATGGTTACCTTCTGCCATGAGGTACAACCATAGTTAACCAGTAGACATAGCCTTCTTTTTCTAATTCTCATAGTTCCTGATAGAACAGGGAAATTCAAGCCTATACAAAAACATTTTCTCTGTATGACCCAGCTGAAGAGTTAGGAGGGTGGTACTACCCACCCCATCCACAGTCCCCTTTGGCTGATCTGCTTCTGGTGGCATTTGTCCTTATTTAAGGACAGGAGGAGAGACTGCTGCACTTTGTAGAATATATAAAAAAACATGGTTAGTGCTTTGTTGCATAATCCTACAGTGGACAGTTCACACAAGTTTTTTTTTTTGAAGCTACTGTTAGGTCTGTTTTTTGTGTCAGGCGTTTCAGCGCATACTCATGAGGGCTGATTCTTCAGGCAGCAGTTGAAAACAGTACTTTTCAGTGCTGCATATGTATATTGTTAAAATGGAATACACCTACAAGTCACCTTTTCAACTATTAATTTCCATGTACAGATCATTCTACAGATCAGATTAGTTAAAAAAAAAATACACTGCCATGGATTTTTTCTTCCGTTCTTATTAACAACACAAAGGATTTTTATGTGAAAGGACAAGCATCTAAGACTGGAAAATCAATTTTCTAGCCTGTTCCAGCCCTGGCAACATCCTTTCTTTGTATTCTAGCTAACTTAGCTTAGAATATCCCAAATGATGAGGATTATACTCTGTTTCTGAGAAAAACTCCCATAATCTTCTAAATTTCCTTGGGAAAGTTTTTGCATGTGTTATTTTTTCTTAAAAAAAAAAAGACTATTCTTTTGTTACAGTTAAACTGTCCTTTACCACTTAGATAATTACTTGCCCCAGAATACTTCTTCCTAGAAACCAACAAATAAAATGCTCTTGTGTGGTGTCAAGAGAGGAAACAAGAACAGCTATTTATGGGCTTCTGGGGCAACTTTTCAAGTGCTTTGGGAAATTTCAAATTTTTAAGATTATCATTGTCTAGAAAATTATGAGATTCATCTTATAAAATTGAAATCTTGGTTTCCCAAATGTGTGTGAGGAAAAAAATGGACTGTTTCTGTACCATCTGTGTAGGAACTGTGGTTCAATGAAATCTACGTTACCCTCTTAATGTGTGTTGCTAAATATTTATTGAAGATATTTTGTGTACTTTTTTTACACAAGTTGTATGTGTAAACATTTGCACTTGGCACAGAACTAGAATCAATTAGGGATAGCCTAGATTTTTTTATTTTTCATTATTTCATGGATGCATTATTGTTATACATATTGATGGCCTAGATTTTTTAAAATCTCCATTTTGCTGTTTCTGATTTGGTGATGGCAGTGGTGAGTTTTCATTTGCTCTTTTATTTTGTTTTATGTTTGAAAGGAGATTGGGTCTCTTTAAAATAGTCCAGATCATTTAGAAAACCTTGGAGATTTTATTTGAATGTCTTTAAATTTCCATATCTCTACTCCTTTCATTTTAGGAAGAAGAATTAGAAGCCCAGATTTCCTTCCTTCAAGGGCAGTTGAATGACCTGGATGCCATGTGCAAATACTGTGCAAAGGTGATGGACACTCATCTTGGTGAGTGAACTGTTGGCCAAGGGAACAATGACAGTTGTAACAATACTAGCTACTTGCATTACTATGTATTAGGTACTATATTAAGTACTTGACATTGAATTTTTTCGTTTAATCCTTATAACAGCCCATAGTAGTACTGCTACTATCTACATTATACAGAAGCACCAAAAGTAAAGAAATGTCACAAGATTAAAGTGAAATGAAGATTTTGAAATGAAATCAAAATCAATATCAAGCAATATGACTGTAGATTTCAACCTTTTTTTTTTCACATCTTTAGATTTCAACTCTTAACTACTATACTGACTTTGTCTATCTCAAACCAAAGTCAAATATTGAGGTTTCAAAATCAATCAGCTGTATTGCTATGGTAGTCTGTCTGCTATAATCAATAACATCGTTTTGATGATGCCTCCTTTTTTTGTTTGTTATTTTTGTGGTACTGAGAATTGAACTTGGGGCTTCAGGCATGCCAATTCTAGCATTGAGCTACATTCCCAGACATTATTATTTTTATCTTGAAACAGGGTATCACTAAATTATCCAGGCTGGCCTTGAATTTGCCATCCTCCTGCCTCAGCCTCCTGGGTAGGCTAGGATTATAGGTGTGTACCTCTGAAGACTCAGCTGTTTGTTTGGTTTTTTGAAGACAGGTTTTTTGACCACCTGCCATAAGAACAATAAGACCTTTTCTTCCTTCTGTCTGCTTATACTCCAAGAAATGTCCAAGTTTTAAGTTCAGTTTATGGGTTAGTCATACATATGTCACATTAGAAAGTCTTCAGGCACTGCTCTAGCTCTCTAAATGTTCTGTGTTTTATATTAGAAATGGTCTCTGCTGAATTGTGTTTATACTGCTTTGAAAATTCCTTGCTGCTTGCAAAAACTTTTGTCATGCCCATTATTATGATTTCTCAGTACACTGTGGGCATCCTTTTTTCTTCTTCCAGTGTAATGCATTCTCTAGTGTAATGCATCTATAGTTTGACAACAAATTAGGAAGATAAGACATGTACTCTTACGAGCAGGCCATTGTGCATTTCATTTCATGGCAGTTCCAGGTACTGTAAGAAATCAAGATGCATCCCTCCTCTGAGGAGAAACTAGATAGAATCCAGCAAGACCTTTTATAGTGGTGGGATGCTGAAATTGACCTATTTTTGCTAGGGGTGAACCCTCTGTCGTCAGACTCCATCAAGTAATCTCTAAGCCCATTAAGTCATGAGTTCATTACAAGTGACAAAAATAGTTATCATTTCGGTGTAACCTTTTAAACCATATTTGTGTTAAGCAAGTAATAAACGTACTCTTACGGGTTTGAAAAGGCGCTGCTCTAAGTGGCTGGCTGGGCCCTATTCTACCTTCAGCCTTATTTGAGCTCTATCAACCACTCCTTCAAGGATAGAGGGCCCAAGAGGTGAAAACAGGAATAACCTAGTGGACGATTAACAGAGAAGAATCTCTCATCTCAGCAAGAAGTGATTCCTCTGTCACATGTGACTCCACTCCCTTCTGAATTGTTTATATATTGCTTAATGATCATTCTAAAAATTCATACAGAGCTACATTTATATAAGTCTCATATTCTTTAGTAGGACCACATTTTAAAATGCCTAAAAAAGAGGTAATTTTAAAGAGATAGTTTACATATAAATAATATATTTTATATCATCATTTTGGCTAAATGTAATTTTAATGTTAAAGTGTGTGTGTTTTCTGCTTTTTTGGCTGTTTGAGTGACCTTTGCTTTACTTAATTTTGGTTTTGACTGAAGTAGAAAAGCAAAGAAATGATTGGGAGAAAGATTTACTGAAACTCGAGAAAATCCTGTTGTTTGGTGTACACAGCAGCTTTTAAAGCAGCTTTACTTTAGCTCAGAATTTTCAAGCAGCTTTTGCTCTGATTTTGGTCTTTCAGCACTAAAAGAGCAGGTTCTCATTGCCTGGTGAGGGGAAACACTTTAATTAAGAAAAGGCCATACCAGCTATAAATTTTCAATTAACCTTAAAACTAGGTTTGTTTTTGTGCATACGTTTGAATCCCTTCAAATAGCTAACAATATCTTTTCCCCCATATGAATAGCATGGTTGCATTTTTAAAGTGGCATTGTGGGGTGCTAGAAAGAATTCCTGATCTTGATACCTACATATGCATTTCAGTTTATCTGTAAATGAAGTAGTGATTTATTAAAGGATGCTTCTGTGTTGTGGGCAACTTTGATTCTAAAGAAAACTTTGATGGAAACAAAAAGATTGACTCAGGTAAGCTAATTTCAACAACTGAGATGTCCATCAGTAGGGATTGAATATAACGAAGTAATTCAATCTTTATAAAGATTAAAGTACTTTTTTATCATTAACGTAAGGAGCTGTTCATGATAGATTAAGTCAAAAAAGCAGGTGGCCAAATAGTTATTTTCATATCAAATATATTCTATTAACAGCAGTTGACTAGATGAAAGGAAGCTTACAGGACGTTCCTTGGAACCTAATCTTCTGTGCTTAGGAGAAATGTAAGACGTTCATGAAAATCTTTGGACACCTTAAGTGCATGTAACCAGCACTCAGTATTTGAAGCATGCAGGAGGCAGTAGTAAAAATGGTAGAATGGTGTCTGAGGAGAGACAACCTCATGTGGGATCAGTCAGATATAGGGTTACTCCAGGCTCTGTCAGTTAGCTCAGCCTGCTTACAAGTATGTCCTCATACATGAAATTGAGAAAAGAATATCTGTCTTGCTAGTTTATTGCCCAAATATATTTTTAGACCATAGCACAGGACATGGCCCATAGGGGATATTCCACAGGAATCAACTCTTTCCCCCAACTGACTCTTCACAGGGAAGAACCTGAGAGTCCTTCGGCCATAGAGCTGAGTAGTGATCCATCCAAGGCCTCACAACTAGTTAGTTGAAGAGCTTGGACCAGTACTACAGTTCTCAATACCCAACTGAACATTTCCTTAGGAAATGATTTTTTTTTAAATGCTGGAATTGAGATATGTTGCTCTAATATTAGGTGTGTGAGCAGTAGCTTAATCAGAACTTAATGATGCATCTGCACTTTGTCTTGAGGACTGCTGTGCTAGGCTACCAAGTTGGCTGTGAGAACTGTCTCAGAGATATTTCTCTGGATCCTTTGCTAATATTAATTAATTTTCTCTTAAGTTGTTCATCTCAAGAGAATTCCTTATCCTTTGTTTTTATCAGACATGCAATAAATATCTTAAAATGTCAAGTACTATTCAAGGCTGTTTTTGTAACTGATAGCAGAACAAATATAAAGAAAAGCCTCTCAGAAAAATTACATGATGGCATTTGTTCAAATGGCCTTCTGGCTGTTGGGGCAATACAGTTGACAGGTTAGTGGTATTTCCTCTTGGTTCTGGAACCCAAAACTGAAAGAGTTATTTGTTTTGTCAAAACTCTAATAAAATTATTTCTATATAATTGAAATAATCCAAAGATTAGAGACAGGAATTAAAAATATGAGTTTTACTAAATCTAAACTTTTCTTGTCAACTTCAGAATACTTTTTTTAATGTGTTCATTTTTCCGTTGCCATAGTTACTCCCCTTCTTGTCATCCTGACAGTTGAGTTGAAAGCCATTGACAGTATTAACCTCTGCACTGAGCTCACGCTATTTTTAGATTTGCTGAACTTCACACATAATTGCACGTGGGTGAGCAGCCTACATTAGTCTGATCCATGAGCAGCTGGGCCCAGCTACCAACTGTTTACAGTGAATATATAAGCAGCTCACCCTGCTGGGCTCCAAAGCCCACACCACCCCCTTCCCTGCTCCTGCTCCTGCTCTACATAGAGGTGTTTCCATTCAGTTGTTTGGTATTTAGACATTGGTTTCCATCAGCTTCTTTTTTCATTGTTGGTCCATACATACAATAGAAGGATTAAATGCAGTGATTTAATTAAAGGAAATTAAATTTCCCGTGCTTTCCTTGGGAGTACTGCAGCTCAGAGGACATTAGAACATCCTAGAAGCCATATCAGTTGCTCTTTATTTCACAGATGAGGAAACTAAGGCCAGGGAAAGATGACTGACCCATCTAGCTAGCAGGAAGAGTCCAACCCAAGCCCACTGATGCTTCTGCTGAGGCCACACTTGAATCAGTAATTGGATTTCAGATCCTCTCCTATTTTATTACACACATCTTTACTGATTTTGTACATGTCATAATATTGATGCAAGAATTACTAAAAGAGAGGAGGCCAGTTTTGAAAATTGGTTTATTTGCCTCTGTCAGAACTTTAAGTCTTATAGTTTTCAATGGATGTTTTTGGAAATGTTCAGTAAGGCAATTAACTAAATGACATTTGAAAAAGTGAGAATGAAAACATGATCACCAGACAGCTCTTTGTCAATTACACTCTGATAAAAGCTTTTCATAATCATTTTAAGAATTCTAAACACTGCATTTAATTGTGGGTAGCAGAGTACTCTAGAAGAGAAAGACACACTCCTCCTGAGGATCTCATTAAACATGCTATCCTGATTCATTAGTTCTGATGTAGGGCCTGAACTTCTACATTTCTAATAGGCTCCCAGGTCACCTGATATTACTGCTCATGGTAGATGTTGAGAAGTAAGAAACCAGAGAACTTAAAATTATTTGGGCACAGTTCAGTTAACATATTCATAACTTTGTTAATATATTCATGACCCCACACTTTAGGCTTATATGCAACTAAACTCTGTAAGCAGAGGGCCCACTGCCTCCTCTGGCATTCCAATGCATGTAGCCTACCATTCTTGGAAAGTCATAAGTTCATTTTCAACCTCTCTGAACTTGTTCTATCCTAATTGAAGTTTTCCCCCCATAAGACATGAAAACAGTTGGTCAACAATTTCCTTGTACCAACCTAAAACCTACTTAGAAAAACTTGCCAAACTGTACTCCTGCAGATAGATCCCTCCCTAGGTCAGGATGCCTCCACTCAATATACTGTTTTCGAAAAATGACAGAGGCATTTTTCCACATGC